GGAAAAGAAACTGCCCAGGTCTGTAATTACATATTAATGCTTACATTTTATTTCCATGTATGGGAATTAACATTGACACTCACTTTAAATTTTTTACCTATAAATCCTCCTCTGGTTCCCGATCGCTCTCCATGTTTACTTTCAAAAACCACCCAAGAGTGTGAGCATGCCTGTGATGAGATCTGCTGCTCTCTGCCACGCGGGGTGCTGTGAAAACTAGCTTCTCTGAGAGGGAGAGAGATTTATTCTCCCCCACTGCCCACCAGGAGCCCAACTCCATGCAAAGGGAAGATTGTTAACATTGTTCATTGAAAACTTATTGAGTGCAGGTCATGGTAGCCACACAGTATTGACTTCCGCTCTGGGTGGGGAGATGACACGAATGCGCAGGTAAGGCCTGAGGACATTTACAGAGTGAGCCGGGCAGGTTAGATCTGTGGAGGGCTTTCTGCAGCCACATCAGGATGGACAGGCTCTGGGCCATGGAATGTCTAGACATCTAAGTATGGCCTGGCATAAACTAGGCCAATCACTTTCTCTTAGGAATTTGAACAACTAAGAAACATGGGGAGAATTTAATAAGTGGAATTAAAAGAGCCCATGACTTTCATCAAGTTAAGATTGGAACAGTCCAAACTGTATGACCCACTTCTAGCATGCCAGTGATATTCGGTAACTACTTGCTGAGTGAATGAATGTACCAATGAATGAATGAATGAATGAATGAACAAGTAGAAGCCAAATGGAGAGGGAATAGAAGAGCTGGTAGACAGAAAGACAACTGGAACAAATCAACAGGGAGATGCAAGAAAGATCAGTCCCTCAGTTGAGTTTTCCAGTTCACATGCATTCTTACACAATGGGGACTTTGATCTTTGCAATCAAAAGAGCTTTGTATAAGACAAAAGAATATGTTTACAAGCAGGAGGCAGATATCATATGGAAACAATATGCAAAACTACTGATTTTTCAGAGGTGAGGACGGACCAGAAAAGTCCAAGTAGAGTTGATCAGAGAAGGCCTCTGGTGGAGCGGACTTTTGACCTATCTTGATTTTCCTATTGACTCAAAGCTATATCTACAGTTGAACAGTATTCTTCTGCATCATATGATGACATTTCCTTTGAAAAATAGTCCTAGGAAAGTTCATGATATAGTGAGTTGGGGAGAGGGTTGGTAGAGAAAGGCAAGTGGTTGATGATATGTATATCAATATGGATGACAAAAATCTCATTTTTGTTTTAAAATATAGTTGTGGATTTAAATGTAGATTTAAAAACCCAGAAAGGTGCTCATCAAACTGCTAACAGTGCTGGCCCTGGAGAATGGGTGAGGTAGGGTGGAGGGGGTTTTCATTTTATTTATTAATATCTGTATCATTGCAACATTCCATAAGCAAAAAAAAAAAAAAAGAAAAAGAAAAAGAAAATAACTTTAGACTCATAGAAATCAATTAAACAAAGCAATTCCACTTAATAAAAATGGTGTGCTTTATTTTTCTGTTACCTCTCCTCCACTAATTTGTTTTCCCTAACTTCTCAGTAGAAGCAAAATAAACAAATTTCACTTCCACTTTACCTCTTTAAGGGCTGTACGAAGGAGCAGTGAAATAGCCAGGGGCAAAGAGAAGATGGGAGAAGACCTGGAGGAACTGTTTCCGGGCTGGGCATTAGGGTTTGAGTTTAACTGCCTTCAGATCTCACAGGAGAGAGTGAAGGAGAGCCTTCGCCACAATCCCCACTTAACCCCGGTAGGAATCCTCTCCTTGCTTGCCTCCTCCCAACCGAAGTGAGCATCTCCTCCTTTACGTCCACACATCTGTTGAAGACTCTGTCTGTGTCATCCAGGCTTCTGCTGCAACACTTCCCTCCCTGTCGTTTGCACACTGGGTCCCCTACAAAACATAAAGCTCTTCAAAGGCAGAGAACTTCGCCAGATCTCAGCCCAGTGGCCACCACCAATGCTCTTCTGTGGGAGGAAGGAACGAGCAGATGAAAGGACAAGAGGAGTGATGGGCAGCGGGTCTGTGATAGGCTTTGACAAACTAACTCTTCTTTTGTTCCAACGGATTGCTGACCCTTTCAGAAGGAGAAATAATGTACAACCTGTCACATGCAATCTGTTCACTTGCGAGCTTCAGTTTCCTTGCATGGTCCCAATTCCAGCCCCATGCCTCCTTCCTCCATGGCCATGGCTTCTTAGAGTCGCTATAGAAAAGAGAGAAAAGAAAAGCTCCTAGGGATGGCAGTTTCTTTTTTTTTAAATATATTTTATTGATTTTTTTTACAGGGAGGAAGAGAGAGGGATAGAGTCAGAAACAACGATCAGTTGCCTCTTGCATACTCCCTACTGGGGATATGCCCAAAACCAAGGTACATGCCCTTGACCAGAATCGAACCCAGGACGCTTCAGTCCACAGGCTGACACTCTATCCACTGAGCCAAATGGGCTAGGGCTAGAGGATGGCTGTTTCTTACTTGCACCATGTGTGTTAGGAAGAGACTATGCCCCTTTGCAAGCTCTCACAAAGACGTTTGAAGTCCCAGTGTTACAATATCTTTCCCAATCTCTCCACCCATGTGTCCTCAAAAAGGCATGTTCAATAATGGGTGGAACCATTAACAGAGGCGGCTGGAGAGGACTGTCTGGTATTTGTCCGGTCCAAGGTGCAGCCTTCAGTTGTTTTAGTCCTCAGTCCTCCTAGGGCCATTTGTCTACATTTTGCATACCAGATGGGCGGCAGGGACAGTTTCTCCACAAGGGACAGAGGAATACGCTAGCTTGGCAAAGGAAAAGTCTGCCATGGCGCCGTCATGCCAACATGAAGCTATTGGGAAGAAATAATGCCAGACCCTAGCCTTGGAAAAAAAGGCAAGGGGAGAAGAAAGAGGGTTTAAAATCACCCAGCCTTCAGTTTATGCCAATCCCGATTCTTTTCCTTCTAAGTCCCCTGACGAGTCCACCATGCAATTACACCTCCAATAATTGGAAGGACATGCAGGGGGCACTTTTAAACCACTAATAATTCTTTGCTTAAATTCATCCAAGACTGACTCAAAAAATTGTGTCCCTACTCTGCTCTGTAATGCTGGGTTTAACAACTTCCTGGTAGGAAGCGTGTCTGGCTTTCTGAAGCTGTGCCTGTGGCGGACAGGCTGAGTCTTGCGGTCAGTGCACACTTCCACGCGGGAGTGTTGATGCAGTGCTTTTTATTTTAGTAAGCAGAAGATATGCTGTCCAGGGAACACCTGTTCTCCACACTCCCAGCTGTCATTTCCTTCCTGCGGGCAAGAAGTCAAAACTGAAAGTCTCTGAAACTGTTAGCAAGACCATTTGTAATCTCAAAGTTTGTTCATTGTTTTTGGTGTAGCGTCTGTGAAACAAAATGTACAAACTTCCAGGAATGTCCTGGCATATCTGTGGCTTGTTTCCTATGATCCTACAGGGTTGGTGTGCAAAAAGGCAAGAGGCAGTGGCAGGAGACGGCTCTGTGGGTCAGGCCAGCCTGGGGAAGAGCCCGGGGAAGAGGTGGCAGCATGTCCCTGGGCCCAATTTACTGGTTATTTACAATTTCCAAAAGACATTACTGATCCTCACAAGCAGGTGTCACCAAATAACTCACTGGAAGGGGATTCAGTAAGATTACTTCACCATTTGATATAGGCCCCTTTTACCAATTTATGTTATCATAGTCCAGACTACAGTAAATTTATATTATATATATATACATATATACATATATACATATATGTGTGTGTGTGTCATATACTCTCATCCCTCTGGCTATTAAATACATTTGTAAGATCAAAGGCTTCACTTTTGAAACCCCTTTAATATCCAGTATTTATCTAGTGACTCTATTCTTGAATTTAACAAAATGTAGAGAATGTCCTTACTCTTTAAAAATAATAATGCTCCCTTATATATGCTTTTCTATTATAATTGTTCAGCTCTTGACATGGAAGGAAGGGAGGGAGAAAGGAAAAAAGAGAAGAAAGAATTAATACTTCCCATCCCACCAAATAGCCATCACACCAATTGTGTGTAGAGGTCATCAATGAATGAATGAGAGCTGAGAATAAGAAATAAAATGTTAAAAGGAGCATTTAAGATCTTGACTCTAGGCAAGTCATAAGTTTGGCTCAAATAAAACCTAGTTTAAATAGAAATAGAGTGTTAAAAAAAGAGGAAGTGACTTCATTTGTACAATGACTCTCAGATTTTATTTTTCAGGAGATAATAATAGTACGACTATCAATATTCAAAAGTAACAAACTTAAGAAAAAAAAATAAGATCTACTTAACTATAGATACAGTCCTAATTAATTTGTGTACATTCATCCCAAAGTTCACAAAAATGATTTAACCTAAACTTCCTGAATCTGCAGTTAAGAATTTGATGTTTGAAGCTCTTCAATTTTTTCATTACTTAACATAAAATAACTTGAAATCAATAGTCGTGCCCCTATCCTCACAAAGCACGTAAAGATGACAGCTATCCAGTTCTTTAGTGTAGATAAAAACATTTCCAAATTGTTTACTAACTGCAATGCTCCCTAACTCCACTGGGTGGTGCAGATTGTGCTTTACTAGCAATTTTTAAGTGGATATTTTAAAAAATTGAGGGTGTAGATGGTCATGGCCCCGGCGAGGGAGGCGGGCCAGCGTCTCGGCAGCTCAATGGCCTCCCGGAAGAAGAACCTTCAAGGTCTGCTTGCTGCAACCATCACGCCGATGACTGAGCATGGAGAAATCAACCTTTCAGTCATTGGTCAGTACATGGATTATCTTGTGGAAAAACAGGGAGTGAAGAATATTTTTGTGAATGGTACCACGGGAGAAGGCCTGTCGCTGAGCATCTCAGAGCGCCGCCTTCTAGCGAAGGAGTGGGTGACAAAAGGGAGGAACAAGTTGGATCAAGTGGTAATTCATGTAGAGCCCTGAGCTTGAAAGAGACCCAAGAACTGGCCCAACATGCAGCAGAAATAGGGGCGGATGGCATGGCTGTCATTGCACCTTTCTTTCTCAAGTCCCGGGACAAATGTGACCTCATTGCTTTCCTGAGGGAAGTGGCTGCTGCTGCCCCTGCACTGCCATTCTATCACTGTCACATCCCTGCCTTGACAGGGCTAAAGATTCGTGCCAAGGAGCTGTTGGATGGGATCCAGGAGCAGATCCCCACCTTCGGAGGGGTGAAATTTAGCGACACGGATCTCTTAGACTTCGGACAGTGTGTCTATCAGTATCGCCAGCGACAGTTCGCTTTCCTTTTCGGGGTGGACGAGCAACTGCTGAGTGCTCTGGTGATGGGAACAACGGGAGCAGTGGGCAGCACCTATAACTACCTGGGACAGAAGACAAACCAGATGCTGGAGGCTTATGAACGGAAGGACCTCTCTTCAGCCCTGGCTCATCAGTTTTGTATTCAGAGATTTATCAACTTTGTGGTCAAACTAGGTTTCGGAGTGTCACAGACCAAAGCCATCATGACTTTGGTGTCTGGAATTCCAATGGGCCCACCCGGGCTCCCACTGCAGAGAGTTTATTGATAAGGCAGAAGCTAAACTGAAGAGTCTGGGTTTCCTTTCTTTTAGGGATTTAAAGAATGGAAACTTGGAAAACCTCTAGCTAATGCCGCTCTATCAAGTCAGGGTGTGTACATTGGGATATAATCCACCTTGAAGAGTGCATTCATTTCTCAAGGACTTTATAGACGAGCTTGAATTACAAATGAAATCTCCCATCAAATCAAGTATTTAAGTACCTACTATGATCTTTAAAAAGTCCTATTTTTGTGAAGGGACAAAAACTCCAAGAGCCATGAGCCCTGAGTCATCCAATACTGCACAAAATTTTCATTGAGAAATTTCTGCTTTTATGGATGAAATGGAATCAAGATAGAAATTATAATTAATTCTCTCTGCCTTTGGGAGCTCCCATTATCTTGCTTTCTGGTTCTCAATCCTATCTTCAAGTTTTCTAATTTGAAACCACTTGTAATGTACTTTCATGTTAATAAATATTCATTTGGAATCTAGAAAATAAATAAATAAATAAATAAATAAATAAATAAATAATTGAGAGTGTAGAATCTCCTAACCTGAATTACCCTTTTAAAACTTAGACTCTGAAGGTATATACGTAACATGGCTTCTTATGCTATGTATATTTGACTCACTTTGTCTGACAAACATTGAATAAGTACATCAACTTTTCTCTGTCAAAGACCCCAGGGGCTTCCCATCTCATTTAGAGTAAACCACCAAGGCTTTCCCACAATTTTCAATACTCCACACCATATCTCCCCCACCACCACTCTCTCCAACTTCATGTCCTATTACTCTCACTCTCATTGCCTTCCTCAATATTCTTTAAACACACATTCTTTATCCCAGCCTCTGGCCTGCTGTTCTTTCCCCCAGATATCCAAAAAGCCAACTACTTTCTTAGGGTTTTATGTAATGACTTTCTCAGTAAGACTGCTTACCCCAAATTTTCTATCCTTCTCCCTGATTTATTTTTTCTTATTACTTAACAATAATAAAGTGTTTGATATATTTATTACATTAATTGTCTGCTTCTCCAACCAGAATATCATTTTTTTATGGCAAGAATCTTTACCAGTTTTTATTTCTGTTATATATTTATATTTAGACCAGTGCTCAAAACAGAGTAAGATATCAATAAATACTTGCTGACAGAATGAATTCACAAATGAAGTGAATGGACTCTATCCTAGCTACCGTGTTTCCCCAAAAATAAGACATCCTCCGAAAATAAGAGCTACTTACAGATTTCCTTCTGAGTGAAATATAAGGCATCCCCTGAAAATAAGGCCCCCCCTAGGATAAACATGAGAGATTTGGTCCACTGATTCTGAAAGAAATGGAGTCACAAGAAATTCACCAGGAAATTCAGGAATTGTTCCAGATGACATGATTGTCATTGAATAAATGAGTAAATTCTTGATACTGTAGGATTCACAGTTTGTCTGGTTTGTGTTGGCAGGTAATAAATTTCCTTTACAGGTAATAAATTTCCTTTATTTTCATTTAACAATAAATGTGTACCGTATTCTTCTTCATGGAAAAATAAGACATCCCCTGAAAATAAGACCTAGCGCATCTTTGGGAGCAAAAATTAATATAAGACACTGTCTTATTTTCGGGAAAACAGGATACTATGCTAATGATTGGGTGGGAAAATGACCAACACACTCTCTCTGCCCCAACACCCCACCCTAGTTTTGATGACTCACCAGAAGGACCCTCAGGGCTCAGCGTACGCATGGCTGTGACTTACTACACCAAAAGGACACAACAGGAAATCAGCAAAGGGAGAAGGTGCATGAGGGAAAGTCCAGGGGAAACCAGGTACAAGCTTCCAAAAGTCATCTCCCAATAGAGTGACGCGGCTGAGTTTAATTTCCCTAGCAACCAGCTGTGGCCACATGTGACATGTTGCCAACCAGGAAAGTTCATTAGACTTGGTGCCTGGGGCCTTTATTGGTCCTATAAGCACTCTTTGCCTGCCAGGTACCCAAATTCCAGGCTACCAGAAGGAAAACTGGTGTTCAGCACCAACCACATTGTTTGTGCAAATTGTTTGGACACAGTGAGCCACTCTTATCAGCGCTAGGAATGGTGGAACCCTCCCAAAATCCAAGTTCCCAAATGCCAGCCAAGGGCCAATCTTGTAAGCATGACTTCCAAAAACGGCAGCCAGGCCTGCTCTGTACGCCCTTCCTGCCCACCTAGTCACTGCTAGGGCTACCAGAGCTCAAACATCGGCTGCATGCCATTTTCAGCTATGCCCTGTTGCCACACTGAGAAACTGGGAACTAAATAAACATGTTTACAGATAAAACTGTTTGCGGGTGCTTCAAACACCATGTGGAGTGCCCGGCAGGTGTGGCCCATGAAATCAGGGCACATGCCCAGGTTTCAGGCTTGATCCCCAGTGGGGGGCGTGCAGGAGGCAGCTGATTGATGATTCTCTCTCATCAAAGACGTTTCACTCTCTTCCTTTCTCTGAAATCAATAAAAACATATTTTAAAAAACCAGGTGTGTCTTGCCACTTTATGAGTTATTTTTCCTGTGTTACTTATGCTTGGATAAATCCATTTCATCGAAGTAGCTAAATACTCTAAATACAGAAGTAAACAAAATGTAATGGTTAAATCAGCCCCACAGAGGTAATAGCCTAGATATGACTTCTATTTTTAGCGTCTATGTAGGATCTGATCTAAGGTATTTCATCTATATGACCTTCTTTTGTAATACTTTGAACTTATATTATAGTCATTATCAAACTGCTGATAAACCAACTCAGACTAGTAACAAACCTATGAGTTTCAGTAATTAAAAACCTTTGAGCCCTGGCCAGGTGGCTCCGTTGGCTGGGCCATCATCTTATACACCAGGAGGTGGGGCAGGTTCAGTTCCCAGTCAGGGCACACACTCAGGTTTCGGGTTCAGTCCCTGGTAGGGGCACATGTGGGAGGCAACTGATTGATGTTTCTCTCTTACATCAATGTCTCCCTCTCTTCCCCTCTCCCCTCACCCCTTTATTCCTCCCTTCTTCTAGCATCAATAAAAAACAAACAAACAAAAATACTTTAGGGTGACTTAACAATATGCCTGCTGGTGGAATCAGGCCTGATGCTGAAGGATGTTTTTGTGGAAGACTGTAAGCTTTGTGCTGCAGGAATGACTTTTACTGTGGTATAACATACCCCACACGAGAGGCTTATCTTTGAAAATAAAAGAAAGTAAAACACACACTTTGACAGATCAATACAGTCTACTTTTCTTTTTTTCCAGAAGATGCCAATAACCTCAAACTATGAAATTTTGTCTGAGCATTATCTTAGTAAACTATATTCTGTGTTGTTATGAACTCATATAGAATTCATAGAGGTTCCTTGGATTTTATTTATGTGTCCAGGAATATGAAGGGTAAAATCTATTCATCTCCATAGCTCGTGACTATGATGGGCACAGTGGGCAAAGACTTGATCGAGGGCGGAACAAGATTATGAGGACTTCTCGGCCAGTATGGCTCAGTGGTTGAATGTCACAAGAAATCCGTGGTTCAATTCCCTATCAGGGCACATGCCCAGGTTACAAGCTTGATTCCCAGCAGGGGGGCATGTAGGAGGCAGCCGATCCAATGATTCTCTCTCATCATTGATGTTTCTATCTCTCCTCTCCCTTGTTCTCTCTCTAAAATCAATAAAAAACATTTTTAAAAGATTATGAAGAGTTAAAATCTAGGCTTGGCAGTTTCAAACTGATTCAATAGGACAGGGGTTCGTAATTTAGGATACCAAAGAGTCTCTGAAGCGCCCAAAATTACAAGTAAAACTCTGTGTAGGAACATATTTCTGGGGGGAGGGCCTGTGCCGTTCTTCACCTTTTCAAAGGTGAGTGTGACCCCAGAATTTTTTGTGAAGGTGAGGGCCAAGTGCTTATGGAAACTTAGCTCAAAACGAAGTTGCATAGTATCATTGTTTCCCAAACTAGTGTGACCATGAGGGTCACTTGGAGAACTTGTTAGATTAAAGATTTCCTGTCCTATCCCAGAGCAGCAGAAGCAGAAATGGCCTGGGGATCTGTATTCTACCAGTTAACCCCGTGATGTAATTTGGGGAATAAAAGACTGAAGCATCATTACAATCCATGCTAGGTTAGATATTTTTATTTTTTTAAATATATTTCTTTATTGACTTCAGAGAGGAAGGAAGAGGAAGAGATAGGAACATCAATGATGAAAGAGAATCATTGATTGGCTGCCTCCTGCTCACCCCCTACTGGGAATTGAGCTCACAACCCAGGCATATGCCCTTGGCAGGAATCAAACCTGAGGACCCTTCAGTCCGCAGGCTAACGCTCTATTTAGAGCCAAACCCACTAGAGCTAGGTTAGATATTTTTAAATGCTATGATTTTTATGGGCCTATTATGATCTCTGCTGGGGTTTGACAGGAAAATGGTACCTCTCAGTGTCACCACGTCATTGTCCATTTTTGTCTCATGAGATGATGCTATCCAAAAAAAAAAAAAAGTTGTGAAGTTTCTTGCAAGTAGTTCTCTTCTCCAGGAAATGGAATCACTTTTAAAATCTCGACACATGCCCATTATCTCTAAAAGTTAATTAGAGCAAGAAGACAATAAAGCTTCTCAGAAAATTGTCCACAATACGTTCTATAGCATATGCATCTTTCCAATTCTGTAAAAATATCTCAGTTGCTACTGCTTTGTTGGGCAAGTCAGTAATATTCCATCTACTAAGTAAATCAAAAAAGTAATGCTTTACAAATGCCATGAAACATAGTGAGTTGTAAACTGACTACCCTCTCTTTCCCAAGTGGCCTGTCTGAATCCTACATGGTCTTCAGTTAAATGTCTATTTTAGATTTTTCAGGATTTAATCTCAGCAGCACCACCTACTGATAATTTTAATTCAGTACTTTATGTAAATTCTTAGTAATGTTAATATTAAACAACTAACTTGAAAACACCTAGAGCATGTTGGCTTTTCATAAAATATGCATATTTGATAGAGGAAGATTTTAGTTATTTTTGCAGGTGACAAGTCAAA